TAAGTTTAAAACTAACAAAAGGAAGTTCTTTTTCATACAACGTAATTAAAATGTAGACCTCATTGCCACAAGATATTGCAGAAACCCACAGTTTAACCAGATTCAAAAAGGGACTGGACAAATTCTTGGAGAAATGATGCATCAGTAGCTACTGAGCATGCAAGTTAGGGGTACAGCCTCTGAATCAGAATTTACTAGACCAGGGATGCTCAACCTCTGGACCACAGACCAAATGCGGCCCATGAAGCCATCACATCTGGCAAATTCCCAGACTCCAAGCCCCACATTCCTGGATGGAGCTAGGTCTTGATTCCTTCTCACTGTGAATCCAGGTTGGGCCCAAGCCCTCTGTGAAGCTGGGCTACAGCCCCTTTTCCCATATGGGGCCAGATTGGGGCCAGACCATTTCCCTTTTTCCCCTGTGGGGCCAAGTCATGCCCTCTTTTTCTTGGGTGGTGGAGCTGGGCCAGGTCATGCCCCATTCCTCCTACCTCTCCCTGTGGGCCTTAGCCAAGGCCCCTTCCCCTGCAGGGCTGGGTCACATTCCTTTCTCTGTGGCCCTGTCACAGGGCCAGGCTGCCCCCTATTCCCTCTGCATGGCCGATTGGCGGCCACCATGCCAGCCTGGGTACTGGATCAGAATGGCCCTCGGTCCCACAATCAGGCCAGGCACCACCCATCTGGCCTGCTGATGAAAAATGTGGAGCACCACTGTCTTAGACCTTGAATGCTGGAGGCTGCAGGTTGGAAAAATCCCTGTTCAGACCCAGTTCACTCTCTCTTTCAGCATCCACTCTCTGCCATTAGGTGACAAAGGATACTGGGCAAGATCTGCCCCAGTTAATGGTAGTTCTCAAATTCTGATGTTTTTATATGTATATAGAGTTTGACTGCCCAAGATAATCTTGGTAATACATAAGGCATAAGTCATTATATTTTAGTTCCTTATTCTAAACAAATTACAATCTTTTCCATGAACATCATTTCCGTGAACTTTCTGGAAAGATGTCAGGAGACTGAGGTAGATAAAACTAAAAAAAACACCTACATAAAAAGTTGAACATCCAATATATTTTTGCAGTTCTAAGCACCACTCCTGCAAACATTTATGCAAATGATGTCAAGTTCTGCCATTTGCATTGACTATAGGGAATGTCTTGGCACACTCCCTTTTGAATAGAAATGGCATGATAACATCCCACTCCACTATATCTTATTTGTTCCAGAAAAGAGTCGACAAAAACTCAACCACACAAATCAAGAAGTTTCCCTATAATTGCAAAGCTCAGACCAAGCACCTTCTAGCCAACCCAGAAAATCAAAGCCTAACATTGCTTGTATGGGTACATATCTGGAGTCAGGAATATTTAAAATTCATTTCTGTCTATGATTTACACAGACAAAAGGCAGAGGTAGTGCTCCTAGGTAGATATAATATGCAGCCCTGCTTTCTGGATTACGTTTGGAGGGCCCTTATTTTCACTGATCCAAAATAGCTTTCTCTGTCACAGTTTGTTGCTGCCTGATTTTGCTCATGTGAATAATAGTTCTGGGTCCATACATGCAGGAGAAGGCCTGTAGCTATGTATATAGGATATTTATTTTTCCCCAGGCTGTTTATCCAGTTTACCTGTAACTGGACCCATAATCCTACTATAGTCCTACTACCCAGAGTCCTACTACAGTTCTACCAGTGCAGCATTACAAAGATTTTAGTAAAGGCAAGACCCAGGAATTCTTACCAGTTTTACACATGATAGACATTTGCTATATCTGCCACCTACCACCTTCAGTCCCTGCAACACACCTGAATTACACATAGAAGCAAACTGTACTAGCTGCAGCAAATAAGAAAACTAGTCTTTCTGAACAGAAAGAATGTACCCTAATGTTTTTTCCAGTTGGTTCATGGTTTCTATACAAATGTTGTATGTTGCAGAAATGCTCAAAAGAAAGCTCAGATCTACAGTTCCTGTTACGCATTCAGCCAGGCTTTTCTGTATTTCACCTATGCTGCAGGCTTTCGATTTGGGGCATATTTAATTACAGCTGGAAGAATGACCCCTGAGGGCATTTTCGTGTGAGTACTGCAAATTAATAAACATTAAGCATGTGCAGATTTACACTTCCCCTTAGTTCCCCAAGGATTTCCTCATCTCACAACCTTGTCACAGAGATAAATTATCATCAGATTAAAAGGAAGTAGGGTTTATTTTATGTATTTATTCTGTGAGTACAACTAGAGACCTTATTGCAGCACTATAGCATTGCTAGCTGTATAATGGTCTAGAGCTTTGGAGAAAAACTGTGTTAATTTTAGTATATTTGGCAACAGAGAGTTCGTCTCAAGTTCCCCACTCCCCCC